CCTTGGTTCTATAGGAGAAGAACTCAGGGTTAATGATATCCCAAACAGATTAACTCCAGGACTTGGTTGGAAGATTGAGATAAAAGTCAACTGGAGGCAGGGCTGGTGGAAGAAGAAGAGAGAGGAGAATTAGCAACCACAGGTCTTGGAAATCTGGCTGCTAGCTTCACATCAGTTCTGTGCTACATGAAGGAGACTGCTGTTTCCTGCCTTTGACTGAAGCTTGGTTTCAGAAATGCTCAGTGGAGGTCCATTTTTGAGGTGATGAGAGCGGGACTGAGGTAGGCATTTCAATTTGCTTTGACTAAACTGTAACTTACAGGATACCTACTCTGTATATAATACTATGAGGCTGCATTGGAAGAACTCATCTTGTATTCCAGCAGGAAGAAGAGTTGGAACAGTCTCAGGCTCCAGGTATCAGTGTGATATCTGACATATAGTATAGTGCAAGAGCACACATCACCCCTGAAAGGAAAATTTTAGGATATTTCTTTTACATACTAAATCTAGTGCTTTAATCATCAGGATCTCCAGCTGGACTGTCAGGTGTTTGAGGGCAAGGATGATATCTGACTCATCACCAAATTGTCAGTGGCTAACAGTACCTAGTTTATAGTTGGTGCTCAATGTCTATTTGATGAATTATATTAACATAAGATCACTCAGGTTTCACTATTGACCTCAGGCTCAGAAAACAAGCTTTGCAACTGGCTTATGCATGATGGGCTCCTCTGTCTCTTCCTGCCAGTGGGAAGTGGCTTTCTGGTGGAGTCAGGGGGTGGGTTTAGAAATATTCAAGATTTCCCTCCTTTCTTCTTTGCAACCTGCTGCGTAAGTGGACTTTAACTCATCATGAAATGGTGCTAGTTAAACCACACTCATTTATAAAGGAAGGGACTTAAGATTTGAAAAATATTATAAACATTTGATAAATATAAATTCAGCTGTCCCTAAACTAACTCTTCATTACGTACCAAAGAATGTATAGCTCTTGTGTATAATATGAAATGAATTACCCCCAAAGGACTTCATTATAACAATAATGATGACTGAGTATTTATGCCATGCTATGCATAAATGTTTTTCATGGGTAATTTCATTCAATCTTCACAGCAAGTCATGAACTTTTAAGGTATGAACTATTATGTCATCAGCTCAATTTTATAACATGATGAAACTGAAGTTCAGAGAGGTTACATAACTTGCAGAAGAACACAGGTTGGTAAACAACAGAGATGTAGCTGAACTGGGAATTCACGTGTCCTCATTATACTCTGCATTGTTCTCAGCCTTGGTGCGGTCACCACCAGGAATACTGTCTATGGTGTGTGAGTTGTACTTTATCTGATGTGGACAAGAGAGCATATGTCTAAGTCAAAATTCAAAGAAATGGATTCTTTAAGAGAAGGCTTCAGGAAAAAAAAGGATGTGAGTTTTTGCCTCAACATTTCTCACCAGGGCTCAGTTTTTTCATTTGTACAGAAGAAATTAAATGCCCTCTGAGATCCCTGCCCATTCTAACATCTGTAAACTTAGTTAGACACACAGGCCTCATTGAGGGGAAGAAATGTTAGAGTGCTTTGTAAATAAATGGGTGTCCTGTTTCCCACAGATGTACAATTTTCATTTAAAATGCTTTTTTCCTGATGTCATTTCATCCTTGCATCCCATCTTTATCTTTCTCCATCAAAGTTTAAATTTTATTTTGCCTTCTTATAGGTTGTTTTATATCCTTTCTGGAGAGACAGGAGTGAGATGGGCCAAAGTATTTGGGGGATGTTTTCTACTCAGTCTTTTAATGTTTTAAGATTTCCTCTAGTATATGTGTAATTTCTCAAATGGCAATAAATAGAAAGATAGATGTTCGAGTTGATTTGCACTCTTTAGAATAATGGATTTACATCACAAACCAAAAAATATTATTATAGACTTTAGAGACAGAGGGATAGGACTGAAATGTGTATTGCAGCCCAGCCATATCCTATAAACATCCTATTATATGCTGTGGTAGAGATTCTTCCCATCCAAACCCATTTAAAGCCATGCTGTGCTGTGGCAATACTAGACATAATCCAGTGTCACTGAAAGCAGTGTAGGAGGGAGCAATGGGAATGGAATGTGTGTACACTTAGAACTAGGTAGGTTAGTCTGCATTCCAACCTCGGCTCTGATGTTTACCAGCTGTGCAAACTTGGGGAAATACAATAACTTACAATTTCTGAATTTTGATTTCCTCATTTGAAAATGGCACTACTTCACACATTATTGTGGGTGGTTTGGAAGATTGAATGATTTGATATTTGTCACAACATCTAATGGAATGCCTAGAACTTAGTAAATACTCCACAAATGTTGGTTTCACTCTCTTCCTGGCTTGCTTTTTCCTTTTTCAAACACACCACATTACAAACTGAGAAAATACATATTTTTGGCAAACACAAACTAAAAGAAGTGATTCCTGGTAATAGTTTGGCAAAATTTCAACTTGTCAGCAATTATTTTCAGAAATGTCACCCAATTCTCAAATTAAAGATAATTTTAACTTAATTATTTAAAAATAGTACCTGGGTAAATGGCTGGTGTCAAAAAATAAAATAATGACAACTGTAGAAGTTATCAAGAGGTTGGGAATCCCCACAACAAAACAAAAAGAGAAGTGGAAATTTGACATTTGAGAAAGAACCAGATAGGATCTTCAAAACCAAGAACCAATTACTATAAAGGGTAAGCACAAACAACGCCCTTGACTAATACGATAGTTTTGCATGCTGTTAGGTGATTAAAGTCATAACACAGCGATTCCTACCATGAATCATATATGACAATTTTACATACATAAGTATTGCAATAGAAACAAAAGGTAATTGGAAAGGTAATTTTTGCTGTAATAATATTTAGAACTTAACACAAGGAGAATTGTTGTCTGTTGGGAACTGCTCTGACTGGTTTCAGGAATTGTAACTGCCCCCCATGGCTAAGGCTGAGTGAGCAACCTCTGGAATGGGAACCACTAAGGAGACAAAGCTTGTCTCTGGTGGCAAACGCTGCTTCTGCTTCATCCCCCAGCCCCCAATGCACGGTTGCATAGTCAATGACAGGTAAGACCCCTCAGAGGGGGGGCAACCTAAGCCAGACATGATCACTTGAGAGGCCATCATGGAAGGACTCTGGGAGCTGCAACAAGAGGGAGTGATGGACCCTCACCCCCAGCTATTCTGACATAGCCAGGGTCCCATTCTCCTCCTCTGGGAGAAGTGCTTCCTGGCTGTAATCCGCTTAAGCGTGAAAACCTGTGTTGGGGGAGGTGGCGCAGCCTCTTGGCTGCTAGAGCAGGATCCGGGGTGATTGAGCATAAGAAAGAATTCCTAAAAGTCCTATGAAGCCTCCTTTGCTAAGAGTGCTTTCATTCATATGTTAAGGGTCCGAGAAGGAAATGAGTATGTCTCCCAAAGTTTCTGCACCCCCCTTTCCTGACAGACACTGACTCAGACTAAGCCCTCAGATTTCTTTGAAATGTTATCTACTGTTTGATCCTTGCCCCCTATATGCCTGTGTATTACAACACAATAAAAGCCATTGAGGAAGGGGCTCTTGGCCTTTCTCCTCTGAGAGATTGGCCACCTCTCCTCCCCAGGCAGATCATGTCTTGGTAGAGTTACTTTCATCCATGGCGGATGGGGGAACAGGCAAAGTTGCCCACACAGTTATCTATATTTTCAAGAATATATAGGAAATGGCCAATTACAAGAATATACAATAAAAATTAATAAGGGACTAAAAATATATAAAAAGTCTCAAATTTTCAAGCCTATTTGAGTTGAATTTTGAAGCTATGTATAATATGAAAAGATGTTTTATGTAACATCTTGTTATTACAAATGAAAGGAAAATTCTGAATTTAACCATTATTGGCATACATTCACACATGACATCACTTCAAATTATTCTCTGTATAAACTTTGGAAGTTAATGTTAATCATCAGGGGTCTGCTGGTTGTGGTGTTGCCACTTAAGATGCAGTGCAGGCGTCGGTAATGGGATGGATACCACACATGAAATGTGTGGGTAATTTAACTCTTTTATGTGTTGGGACGTACTATGGAACAAAACTGACAAAAATCCTTCTTCTCACAGAGGATACATACTACAGCAAAGATTTTAAAAGTGAGTGATAAATATGTTCAAAGACAAAAGGGTAAAGCAAGAGGGTATATGATTGGGTTTTGAATACTGGAAATAGTTTTAAAGTGTTTGGGGGTATTAATAAGGAGAAATTAGAGTGAACAGAAATGTTAGTGGACATTAGAGAGATTTAAATGCAGATTATAGCAAAGGAAAGGGAAAATTGTAACAATAGAATCTTAAGATTGTCAGGAGGATTAGATCTTGTTTAGGAAATTCATTCTTTGGAGTAGGAGACAGAAATTCCTAGAGTTTAAAGAATAGAGAGTAGAAATAGAATGGAAAGAAAGATATTTTGAAATAGTATTCATCACTTTAGATTAATACTGTCACCTATCCTGAGCACAAATATTTTCTTGTGACCCAGAACCAAGTGTTCTTGGTTTCACTCTACTGAAGACATAAATATAAGTGCAAGGCAAAAGTGTAAGGTCGTTGGCTATTTGAAGATCTTCTCCATTGTCCTCAGATGTGATTCCATCCCTTCCAGTGGATGAGTGGGAGAAAGTCTCTCTTAAATAAACTCACTCTCCAGACTCTGCAATGTGAGGCTGGCCTGAATGGGGTCTGGGCTGAGAGGAAAGGCTTGAAATACCTAAGTGTAGTCCTTCCCTTTCTGAGGATCTGGAAGTGAGATCCTCCATTGTGCAGGCAAATGCTTCCTTCCCTTGGTGATCTTTTATACAACAAAAACTTGAAGAGGAATTTGCACTTTTTCTAATGGTGCTCAAGGAATCATCAACCTGGAGGTCTGTTGATCAAAGGGAGCCAACACCAGAAGCCAATTCTTTATTCTTCTTCTTTTCTTTTCTTAACATTGTACAACCCCCTTCAGTGCTCACAGCCCACAGGTAAAAAGGCTGGGCAATGGTTCAAGGTTGCAATTTACTCTGGCATGGGTACACTATGAGAGGCTCACCATAGACAAGGGCCTGCCATAAATCCATTACCATGCTCCAGAAGCCAATACTTTTTAAAAATTCTCACTTGAAAATTTTTTTTAAAGAATTGATTTGAGAGAAAGAGAAACATTGATCAGTTGCCTCCCATATGTACCCCAAACTGGGATCAAACCAGCAACTTTTAGGTGTATGGGATGATGCTCCAACCAACTGAGCCACCTGGCCAGGACAGAAGCCAACTCTTAATGAACAAGAAGACACCTATGTCAGGAGGTGGCATCCCAGTTTCCATTCACCATTCTTCATAGGTCACGGTGATGGCTCTGTGGCTTCTGAGGAACTTCTAGGCTCGAGTCATCATGACTTCAGTGCCTTATCTAATTTCCTGAAGTCTATTTTTCCCAGAGGGGCAAAATTGAAACACCTATTTGTCATTGGTTTTTGCCCCTTGTTTCCAGCCTTAGTAGCTTTGCCTTCATCTGGATGGAGTGGATAAAAGACATATTTCATAGAATACGAAATATTTCATAGAATCTAACTCAAGAGCTAGATACCAGTAAGTCAAGACATATTTCATAGAATCTAACTCAAGAGCTAGATCCCAGTAAGTCAAGTGTATGTCCATCAGCACCACAATCCTGTAGCAGGGATTTAAATAGCAGCAAATTCCTTACTAGATAATGAATAGAACAGAGGAGATGGTAATGATAATGGTAGAGCAAGCTTTAGCTTTGGAGAATACTGTAGGAGTCTGGATTACAAATTCTTATAATCCCTAATGCAGTAATCATAAACCTTCTTTAGCTAGATTAATTTATTTACTGGGAAGTTTAACAGTGTCCCAAATTCAATGTCAGAAAACCTTTACTTTAGGGCAGTTAGAGGTGATACCCTTAACTGGTGATTGGATAAGTGCCAGAAAGGTTCAACTAAAAATCTCTGCATTCACTTTAATCTTAAAATGTTTTGAAATATGTTGGTAGGCAAAATGGAAATCTTTTTCCTAACTTCAAGAAAGTCCGGGAAAGAGTACAGAGAATGATCAAAGGGGTTGAAAATAGGGTCTAGGAGAAGAATTTAAAAGAAGGGAGCTGACTTTGCATGGAGAAAGAAGAATAGGCTGGAAGTACCAATTATAATGGCTTTGAAGGCTTCAAAGATTTCCCATTCATAGTCATCCACCCATTCATTCATTCACCCAAAGTGCCATGCGCTGAGGGACATGCAGAAGCACAAAAATAGAGGTAGACAGAACAAGTCTTTGGTTTAAAAAATCTCTTCATTGCCAATGACCAAGATTTGAACAAAATTGAGTGTAGATTGGGCACAAGCAGGAAATAAGTCTGAAGTGAAGGGATTTGAGAAACTGAAATGCTTGCCAAAGCCGCAGTAGCAGTGGAAATAAATACAACCCTACCCACCATTTGCTTTTGAGAACTACTTCTGGCTAAGTGGTGAAGTAATTTTCAGGGCTGATGGAGAGATTTCCATCAGAAAAATATTACGGCTTTAATTTTGTAGTTTGGAATATTCTGTGATAGGCCTTGTGTGGTCAATATTAAGTAAGGCAAATATTTCATGGTTTCCACTGTGCTTTTCATCTATACTCTGCACTGTGTGATTTATAGTAGGGTCTATCCAGACCACAAAAATAGCACAAAAGAAAAAGCCATAATGGCATCTCTTCCCACCACAATGCAGTTAACAAAAACCCCCATGGCCATGTTTACCAAGAAAACAGCAGGTATGAATTCACAGTAACCAGGTGAGTTACTAAGTCTTGAGTTCCTCTGTGCCACAGGTTCTTGGACTTGCCCAACTCTTGATTAACTGAGAGTTACTATTTAGTTACCATTACATATAAAATTGTGACTTTATATCACAAATATAGGGACAATCTTTTACTTTATTTAAATAGTATGGACAAAAAAATTTGATGATTCAAATACTAAAATAGTGTTTTTTGTTTGTTTTTTTAATTTGCAGATTATGGTTTGACTCTAACAACTAAAATAGGTAAATTTAACTTTTTTTAAGCCATATGTAAATCCAATTTAAAAATGTATGAGAAACCAAGACAAGAGAACCAGAGTGTTATGATGAAATGTAGGAACTGCTCAGAAGAGCAATTGCTAGTCAATATTTTCAATATTCAATTATCTTTGTGGGAATTTAAATATGAATTTTATTTTTTAAGAACAGAATTATCTGTTATGGGCCTCCTCAATATGCAAGCTACCCATACCTAAAATTATAAGGAATCAAAAAGTTGTTCTTACTGTGTTCTTTTTTTGTTTACTGTATATACTATTATAAATTGAACAGGTCAATTTAAAGAAATTGTGCATTTCTAATCAAATCCTTTAAATAACATTCTGACAAAAAGTTTCTACTTTGTGCAAAGCACTTTGTTTCCTCCTAAAAATAATACTTAAATACATGTAAATATAAATTTATACATATATAATTTATTAATGTAGCACATGAGGCAGTTATTGGAAAGAAGTTTCTAAACATATATCCAATTGCATGTCATATGCACCTAATTCAATAGAAGTGGCAAGTGTTTAATTGAGATCCACCTGTTGCTCCTCCATCCTGAAGCAATGTCTTATACATCAAGTGTCTCTGTTCAGAGCTTACCTGTCTCACTTCCAATCAAAGGCTGATTTGCAAAATGCTTGACAAAATCCTTCAAAGATGGAAATTCATTAAAGCCAAATTTAAATGAATATCCAGTGTATTCAACATGAAAGTGTTTGACGGAGTCTTTGGCTCTGAAAGGGAAAAAGAAATGCTTAATGTTATTTAACAAATTAGTATCATTTTTGAAGGAAAGTAGTAACCTTAGGTATTTGTATAACCATTAAACCCCCCTAAAAACAGAATTATGACACAATCATTGAAATCATTGGCATTTCAGTGATTGCAGCACAGTTTTTTGTTGTTGTTTGTTTGTTTTGGCAAACTGTGCTCTTAACAATTTTTCACTCCAGTAGAAGATAAGAGACAATGGTACCTGTGCATTCTGTCACTTGTCGAAAGAGTCCTTGCACATTAACCTCCCCAAGGAGCATGAGTTTAAGAAGGGCAGGGAAAAGAGATGATGGAAATGACAGGTCACATCTTCCCCACATTCTCCTCTGTCCTTGGCCTAACTTCCTTACTTGTTTGGCAGTCAGTCTGAATTTTACATCTGTCACTGAATTAGTTATCTGAGTCCAGCCCTTTTCCTCCCATGCCAGTTTCACTGCCTACTGACTAAAATATCAAATTTCCTACATTTAACTTTCCACTTCATTTTTGGAATAAGGCAGAGTACTAAACAAATTATAAATTATATATAATATATATGAGATCTGCCTAGAAAAAGTCCAGCCATTGTTAATACAATGAGAATGGGTTGTGCAACATCGATGTAACTTGGCAGCCAAAGAGAGTGGACTGGAATGTGTATGCATGAACAATGACAACTTCACTGTACTAGTAAATGGGGGTGGTAGACACCATTGAGCGAGAACATGTACTGTGTTGCCATCGTATTCAAAATGACTGAATGAGTAGAGCAGTGAATCTGCATCAGATTTTGTGTTAAGCTTAAATGTTCTTCTGCAAAAGTTATTCAAATGATTCAGAAGGCTATAGCTATGGGCAACTGGTGATTGGCAGCTTCATCATCGCAACACACTCACTCATTCATCGTGCCTCATGTAGTGTTTTTTGGGAAATATCAAATCACCCCATTGACTAAGACCCCCTACAGCCCAGGTTTGGCACCATGTGAGTTCTGGCTTTTCCCAAAACTAAAAGCACCTTTGAAAGGGAAGAAATTTCAGACCATCAGTAAGATTCAGGAAAGTATGATGGGGCAGCTGATGGCAATTGGGAGAAATGTGTGAGGCTCCAAGTCACTTACTTTGAAGGGGACTGATGCATCATTGTTCTATGTACAGTGTTTCTTGTATCTTGTATCTTGTTTAATAAATGCCTTTATTTTTCATACTACATGGCTGGATACCTTCTGGACACACTATGTATATTTTATTTGAATCCCACTACTCTCCTCTCTGTGCAGGCAGGCTCTAGCTGTCACATGTATCAGAAACCAGAATCAGCTCTGGCAGAGTAGCTCAGTTCGTTAGAGCATTATCCTGACTATGCTAAGGTTTTGGGTTTGATCCCTGGTCAGAGCACATACGAGAATTATCTAATGAATGAATAAATAAGTAGAACAACAAATTGATGTCTCTCTCTGTCTCTCAAATTGATAAAAACTCAGAATCACTTGGAGGGCTTGTTAAAACCTTGATTTTGGGGCCCTACTGCCTGAATTCCTGATTCAGTACGTCCAGGGTGGGGCCTGAGAATTACATTCCTACCACATTCTCAGGTGATGTTACTGATCTGGGGACCACGCCTTGAGAACTGCTGCTCTAGTCCAGCTGGACCTACATTTCTCCTAGGACTTTTCACTTTGCCCCTTAGCTCATATAGTTCCCTTCACTTGCAACTTTTTCCCCTTGGTTTCTGACAAAGCATCTATTCAAATACCACCTACTCTGACAAATATTGCAAGATTCATCTAGCTTGAGTTACTTTTGCTCTTCTAAAAATCCAAGCACTTATTTTGCTGTCTTTCACGTTATTTACTGCACTCTACCTCATAGTGAGGTATATGGAAATATCTTATTACTCATGTAAGACTATAGTTCCTAAGGGCAAATTCTTTGAATCTTCTATAAGACTTGTCAAAATGGTTGGCACAAAGTGGATACTCTTAAATATTTATTTATTATCCTGAGCTGATCTATGATTCCTGTCACATCTGCTATGTGTGTGTGTGTTTGAAAGCATTTACAAGTACTTATCATGGAAATGAATTGTTTATAGTTAAAGTTTTATATAGATGTAATATATATGCCATCTATTTGTAAGGAGATAATAATCCATTTGTTCAGATGAAACATATAGGTGAGAAGTTAACATGCTTTGATCCCATAATTCCACAGGTTTGTTTGAGATTTTGGGGAGACACATAGAGTAAAGGATCCAT